AAATAGAAGGTCATCTTTATAGAGGATACACGATAACTGGGTCTAAAAAACCTCATACAATTGGTAAATTGGAACAATCGAATAAGAAAAAGCCAATTTGTTTTATATTTTCTGGATTAGGCTCTCGATGGTTCGGAATGGGTAAGTAAATCGAATGCATCAGTAAATGCGCTAAATAAATATTCAATTTGTGATCTAAGAAATTTTTGTTGCAAAAAATCATGAATATTTCACTTTTAATAGTAAAATCTTATAAGAAATAACTCAGAATATTAATTTACATAAAACATCAAAGACAAATATAAAGACTTGACATATTTACATTCGAAAATAGATTTTTAGAGCGGCTTAGTCACCCCGCCTGGTAGTGCAAAAAGGTTATAATAACGTTACAGAGTTATAAAACTGGCCAATCACAGTTATTACATTCTACAGAGGAATAAATTGTAATTGGCCAGTTGTAGAACTACGGATGTTATTAAACCCAATTAAGTTACTGTGTAAACATACTCAATAAGATTTGAAGGAAACTTTATTAAAATTTTAACAGGTCGAGTTCTAATGAAATTCTCAGTGTTTGCCAAGACAGTCCAGAAATGTGATACCGTTTTGAAACCTTACGATATAGACCTCACAGATATTTTAACAAATAGAACAAATACTTTGGGCAATATTGTTAATTTATTTTTAGGCCTCGTTGGACTACAGGTAAGAAAAAAAGAACTGATTGAACTTTATAAATATATTTTACAACGTATAAGATATGATTGAAGTTACATTTTATAATCTTGACGTTTATTGAAAATAAACAAATATGGAAAATTATTTCTCTCACATGTATCACAGATCGGAATGGTTGATCTTTTGACATCCATTGGTATCACCCCTGACTTTATAATTGGTCATTCTATTGGAGAATTGATTTGTGGATACGCTGACGGATATTTGACCGCCGAAGAAACGATTTTATCGGCATATTTCATCAGTTTAGCACTTCTCGA